GTAAGCAAGATAAAGTGCATTATTAATACTAAGCTATCGATTTTGATAGTTTATTACAAAATTATTTCATTATTGGCACCTTTTATTGCTCAATAAAATAATGGAATTTTTGTCCTTTATTATTTTTAAAGTATTGCAAATATATTGACAATGTTGGCATTTTATTAGCATAATAATTTGCAACTACATTTATAAAATTAAAATACAGTACAATATTAAATGCTAAAAAAAGTACTTATATATACATAAAATTGCATTTAATAGTACAAAATTCAGCAAGCTAAATTTTGATTGATTTTTGTAAAGGCATTTATACTCGTTTATTTCGTTGTGAATAACAGTTTAAAATATTATTTTTTTTTTATGATGTGTTTATATATATTAATAAGCATTGGCCATTTAAAGTTATCGAAAAAAACGGTAAACCATATATCCAAGTCGAATTTAAAAATGAAACTAAACAATTTACACCTGAAGAAATTTCGTCTATGGTTTTGTCTAAGATGAAGAAGACTGCTGAAGCTTTTCTTGGTACAAAAGTTACAAATGCAGTTATTACAGTTCCTGCATGTTTCAATAATTCACAACGTCACGCTACGAAGGATGCTGGTATGATTGCTGGATTAAATGTTCTCCGAATCATTAACGAATCTACGGCCGCGGCTATCGCTTACGGTTTAGATAAGAAGACTACTGGTGAACGAAATGTGCTGATTTTTGATTTAGGTGGTGGCTTTTTTAATGTGTCTCTTTTAACCATTGAAGAGGGAATTTTCGAAGTCAAAGCTACTGCAGGTGATGCACACCTTGGTGGTGAAGACTTTGATAATCGTCTTGTTAATCACTTTGTTCAAGAATTTAAGCGAAAATTCAGGAAGGATCTTACTACAAATGCTCGAGCCTTACGTCGTCTACGAAATGTTTGTGAACGTGCAAAGCGTACTTTGTCCGCTTCATCTCAAACTTCAATAGAAATAGATTCACTTTTCGAGGGTATCGACTTTTACACTTCCTTAACTCGTACTCGATTTGAGGAACTAAATCAAGATTTGTTCCGATCTACCATGGAACCGATTGAGAAAGTTCTCCGAGACGCTAAAATTGATAAACCTCAAGTTCATGAAATTGTTTTAGTTGGTGGTTCTACTCGTATTCCTAGAATACAAGGAATGGTATCAGACTTCTTTAATGGCAAGGTGCTCAACAAATCCATTAACCGTGACGAAGCCGTCGCTTACGGTGCTGCTGTACAAGCTGCAACCTTGGCTGGTGATACATCAGAAAAAATTCAGGACTTTTTTTTTCTTGATGTTTTACCATTTACTCTCGGTATT